GCCAAACAACTTTGAAAAAGAGCAACACCACCTGATTTCGAGACTGCTGAAATCAGGACTTCAAGCTCTTTCTTGCATCTCTTTTTAAGAGCAAAACCTTGTCCACAACTCCCCAGAAGTCTTCTCGTTGATCCAAGGAAGGGGACCGGGATTGTGGGGAGGGTGGGTTCCCAGCGGAAAATCTGGGGGCTGTTTCAGAGAAGGGGAAAAAGGACAGATGTGGGACGGGCAGAAACAACAGATATCCAGCAGGAGGGCCACTGGAATAAACAGAATTCAGTCCGAGCCACTGTGGCTTTCTCTGGTAGCTCACAATAAAACAAATGTGGTTTCAGGGGTGTGTATATGCTGAGGAAGCTACAAACCTCAGGGCCACAGAGCCCAGGAGTCAGTGGAGGGAGGATCCAGGACAGCCCTTGATGAAGATGGGGGACCGTCTTCTCTCCTGAGCCACAGGAAAAGTCCACGTGGGCAAAGCTCCCACCTTTGTTGCTCTCCCAGTGATATTACCTTTAGAATTGTCCCCACCATTCAGTGAAGAATTTCTCATATGGAATAGAGTCCAGGGCCTCGGTCTGGTGAGGTGGACAGGGCAGTGTGGCCCCATGAAGCAGGAGGGGACTGCTCTTCCCTCTTTTCGGGTCTAAGCCCCTCAGATGGAGGACGATGGAAAAGGTGGCCATTATGGAAAGGCCAGGAACCCTGGGGTGCCAGAGAAAGTCTACAAGGGAGAGAAAGAGTGTGAGAGAGAGAAACAGTAGGACTCATTTCTCAAGTGACGCTGTGGATGGGAATGGCCAACTTCCGGTAGCAGAAGGGGCAGCTGCCTGAGCAATCACGGAGCGACACACAACAAAGAAAGTACTTCATAACTTCTCTCAGAAGTAGCTGCTCTCAGAGCCCACAGACCCAAACATGGCCCCAGGGCCCCTTTCCCAACCCTCTGCCCTAGCTCACTGGCCGGGTCCAAGTAGCTAGGGAAAATGTGTCCCCATCACTGGAAGCTGACAGGTGGCTGTCTCCATGCTGTAAGGTCCGGGGAAGGCAGATTGGATGCCTCCAATATACTTCCTCACTCCAGTCTCATTTCTTGCCCCCAAATTGAAATCTTCCCAGGGCACACACAAAGATGCGTCCTTGTCCTTTGACCTCCAGAAAGACAATCCCAGTACACTGGAGTGATCATAAAATTGCAAAACGTACTTAATGCTTACTATGTGCCAGGGACTATTCTAAGTGCTGTCCAGCATTAACTCTTTGAATGCTCCCAACAACTCTAGGAGGGAGTTACTGGTATTATCCCCATTTGACAGTTGAGGAAACTGAGCCACAGGCAAGTTAGGTGACTTACCCATGATCTCACAACAAGTGGGAGTTGAGGCTGACATTGGAATCCAGGCAGTTTGGCTGCGGAGCCCACGTTCCCAGCCACTGTGTTCCCACGGAACGGATCATTCCAGGTCAGGACATGCTGGACTCTTCGGTCGTAAATAGCATTGCGTGTGAGACAGCGAGTCTAACCCAGACTTCCTGTTCTCTGTCTCTCCTCCACGGCGAGGGGAGTAAGAGGCCTGCGCGTCTTTCTATGCTCTTTTCCATCCAGCTCCATCCTTCTTGGAAATGTCTGCTTAAAGAACATACTTGGTGCCATAAGAACGCCAGGTTCTACACAGGCACAATGTAGTCTAAATCCGGAAACTTGGGACATTTCTCCAAAGAAAACAAGGACGCCGTGCTACAAACACACACAGTCAACTCACACTGCTCGAGAGAAGCCTTCGCTTCCTGGTCTTTCCCAGATTACTACGTTCACATCTCTCCACAGCTTCTTATTTGACTGCCATTGGTCCAGAGTGGTGATTTTTTTTCCAGGAAAAAGGAACATTTTGTCCCAAGGTAACTTGTATCTCCTCAGAAGACTGAAACTGCTAGAACTTTTAAAATGAGAGTTTCTGTCTAACTTGCAAGTCCATGAGGAGCAAGCCTGTGTGGGGAGAGAGAGAGGGAAAGGGAAAGAGAGAGAGAGCGCAACGCTGAGTTTCGCCGCAGTTCCGACACAGAACGCTACCCCAGAGGATATCAGACGCCGGGCAGCTATATTCAGACTTCATCTCTTTCCTTTTAGCTTTTTATTTTGAAGCAATTATAGACTCACAGGAAGTTGTGGAGATAGTAGAGAGGTTCCATGTGCCATTTATCCAGTGTCCCCCAGAGGTAACATCTTACATAACAACAGGATAATAGGAAAATCAGTAGATTGTCGTTGGTACCATCGTGTGAGACATCAGTGCCATTTTGTCATATGCGTACATTTGTGTTACGGTCACTGCAATCACGACGCAGAACTATTCTGTCATGACAAAGGTCTTCCTCCTTCCCCTCCCCACACCCTTCTTATCTCTTGGAGACCACTGATCTGTTCTCCATCTCTTTCGTTTTGCCATTTTGAAAATGTTACATAAATAGAATCAGACTATTTATCTTTAATGTAATTATTGGTACGTTAGGGCCTAAGTCTGCCTTCTTATTTTTTGTTTGTTCCCTTTATTTTTCTGTTTTTGTTTTCCTGTCTTACTTTTGGTACTTGAACATTTCTTGGAATTCCATTTTGATTTTTCTAGTGTTTCCGAGTGTCTCTCTCTGCACAGATGTTTAGGGGTTGCTCTAGGTATCACATTATGCATACATAGCTTACAATAGTCTGCTGCTGTGCACATTTTACCAGTTTGAATAAAGTGCTGAGACCTTACCTCTTTTTAAATTCTTTTACTCTCCCTTGTTTATAATTATTTCCTCGACATACGTTTAGAACCATGTTGAGCAACGTTATAACTTTTGCTTCAAGCAAACACAATTTAGAAAACTCAAGATAAGAAGTCTATTGGAGTTATCTTATTTATATTCTTTTCATTGTTCTTTCTTCCTTCCAGATGTTCTAAGAATCTTTTTTTTTTTTTTTTTTACCATTTTCTTTCCGTTTTAGGATATGTCTGCAGGCCACAGGGTCTCTTAGTTTTCCTTCATCTTAAAATGTCTTGATGTCCTCTTTACTCATAAAGGATATTTTCACTGGATACAGAATTCAGGGTTGACTTATTTTTTTACCTTTGGAAAATGTTGTGCTGCTTCCTTCTGGCCTCCATGATTTCTGATGAGAAATCCACTGTTGTTCAAATTGTTTTTCCTCTGAGGGTAAGATATCATCTCTCTCTTACTACTTTCAAGAATTTGTCTTCAGTTTTCAGAAGTTTGTCTGCGATGTGTCTTGGTGTGCTTTTCTTTGGGCTTGTCCTGTTTTGGGTTTACTCAGCTCCTTGGATCTGTAAGCTAAGTCTTGTGCTAAATTTGGGGAAATATCCAGCCATATTTTTTCTAATGCCTTCTCAGCCCTCCTCCCCTCTCCTCTCCTTCTGGGACTCTGATGACATGTGTCTTAGATCTTATATCCTAGTCCCACAGGTCCCTGAGACTCTCCTCATTTGGTTTTTGGTGTTTTCAGTCTATTTTCTCTCTGGTTCAGATGGGATAATTTCTCTTGTTCTATCTTCAAGTTTATTTATCCTTTCCGTTCTGTCCCTGAGCCCATCCACTAAGTTTTTAAATTTGGGTTATATTTTTCAGTCTTAAAATTTCCATTTGGCGCTCCTTTCCGTCTTTTAGTTCTTGGCTGAAACTTTCTTTTCTACACTGTGTTTGCAGTTACTTGTTGGAGCATTTTTATGATGGCTGCTTTAAATTCCTTGTCAGATAGTTCTCAGATCTGTAGCATCTTGGTGTTGGTGTCTGTTGAATGTCTTCTCTCACTCACTGTGATTTTCCTCATTCCTGGTGTGGTGAGTGACTTTGTTTGTATCCTGAACCTGGGTATTACGAGACTCTGTATTTTGTTAAAATCTGCTTTTCTAGCAAGCTGTCACTGAACTGCATGGGCCAGGGCAGAGCAGAACTCTGTCCCACTGGATGGTGGCGAAAACTCTGCTTCCCATCCACCTTCTCTGACACTGGGGGAAGGGGAGGGGGCACCTCCTTTCTGCTGGGTGTGCATGGAAGTCCAGGGGCCTTGCATGGTCTCCACTGGCCCTGGGAGGGGGTTTTACAACGACTGGGTGGGACTGAATGTCCCAGATCCCACTCAGTCTTCTCTGACATCACCCTAGTGGGCAGGAGCAGCCTTTGCTGGTGGGTTGTTAGCATGACTACAGTGTTTTTCTTGGTGCTTGGCAGGGGGTAGGGTGCTTATGCTCTAAAGTTTTCCATCTTGTTAGGTTGCCCCTTCCCTAGTCCTTTGCCTAGGGAGAGCAGGCTTTTCTTGGGTTTATTTTATTTTATTTTTTTACTATTCCCATGGGTGTTCCAGGTTGCCAGTTTCTCTAGCATCCATCTGAGATAGAGAAGGCAAAAAAACACACAGGGGACCCACTGTCATGTCATTCCTGGACTCCTGAGGTCCCTGGCTGGTCTGCCTTTCCACACCTTTCAGAGTCTTCTTATGTTTGAGAGAGATATATACGTAAATATATAGCTATATTTAGCTTAATAAATATTTTAAATATTTATATTGCCAATATTTATATTAAATATTTATATAAATATTTTAATAAATATATTTATATTTATTATTAAATCTAAATACATATTAATTCTAGGGTTATTTATACTCAACAAGAGGAACAGATAGAAGTGTGTCTACTCCATCTTGGTCTGGAAACCTAATCTTTTAAGAAAAGAAAGTCTTGGGGCTGGCCCTGTGGCTGAGTGATTAAGTTTGCACGCTCTGCTTTGGCGGCCCAGGGTTTCACCGGTTCAGATTCTGGGCGCAGACATGGCACCGCTCATCAGGCCACATTGAGGTGGCGTCCCACATGCCACAACTAGAAGGACCCACAACTAAAATATACAACTATATACTGGGGGGATTCGGGGAGAAAAAAGCAGAAAAAAAAAAAGATTGGCAATGGTTGTTAGCTCAGGTGCCAATCTTTAAGGAAAAAAAAAAAAGAAAGTCTGAGAAGGGAGAAACAGGAAGTCTTAGCACTCCTCTGCTCACTATAGTTTTGGGACAGTTTCTATTGTCTCCTGGGAAGCCATTTCCCCAGCATTCCCACTCAGCACTCAGTGTCTTTTGGAGACTATGGGATCTTGGAAATACAGAGCACGGTTGAAAAATGTAGAAGGATGTGGGATCACGGTGGGTACTGGTCAGCTTGTCTGTCCCCAGCAGTATGGTCAACCACACACAGACATGGCCCGAGCTCGTTTCTTTGAACTATGCAGGACAAACCAGGAAGTTATTGGCATCTGAAAAACACTGTGGTTTTTTTATTCAAAATACAAAAAGCTTTCCTTTGATTGTCCGCCAACAGCTCTTGCTGAGGCTCGTGGAGAGAACTTGCCACCCTTTGCTCCCTCAAAGCCCACCTGGTGTCAGGGTGTCATCCCCACCTCTGTGTCCCTCATCGTCCCAAGGAACCCTCTACCCCAAGGTACAAGGAGAAAGATTAGGCTTGAATGCTGCCAGCGCTCCAGCGGCAGCAGCGGCTCAGGGCACAGACCACCAAGATGGGAGCAGAGACCGCAAAGCAGTGAGCGCTCAACCTTCAACTCGCATCACACGTCGACCCGTTCAGGGGGTTCCAAACTGCTCAGCCATTTGACTCACTAGATTTTGTTTTTAGGGACTTTGAGTCATTTGCAAAATCAAGCCCTCCTTCCAAAAGTAAAAATTTGCCGTTGTGTAAGATTTTACAGAAATATCCTACTCACTATGAAAATTTTTCTAGAAGCAAAGTTATAGCATTCTTGCTGGAATGCAGGCTGTCCTCCAAGGGAACCCGTTTATTTAGGGTATCACTTCTGAAGGGATTGTTTGTCAAATCAAACCAAAACAAAAACAAGTCACCTTCCTTTAGACATAATCTCTTCCTTCAATGGGTCACAAGGATTCCTGAGGACTTCTGTATTCTTATAAATTCCTGGAGAAAGGCCAAACTTTGGGCTCAAATAAATCAACAAAAATGTGTTGTGTGCCCAGCATGGAGGTGCTGATGGAAGCAGAATATTGGTTTTAGGCCTGGAAGAGTTCATTTAGGACCCAGAGACCAGTTTCACCTGCAAATAAGTTCCAGTCTCTTTTTAGTATTATAGTTAATTACCAAGCACCTTCAGGCTAAACTTAACAAGATAGTGCAGCATTTCTGCCAATGTTCTTTTCCAAACTTTCATTCATTTATTCTTTTAATAAACATATACTGAGCACTAATTTTGTGCCTGGCACTGTTCTAGGTGCTGGAGATAGAGCACGAAAGGAAACAAAAGCCCACCTTCATGTTGGCTTACATTCCAGTGGGAGAGACATATGACAAGCCTAATAAATAAATGAAATATATAGCGTGTTAGGAAGTGACGAGTGCTCTGGAGACAAATGAAGCAGGGAAGGGAAATAGGAGTTTCCCATGGGTGGGGTTGCAAATTACAACAGTGTGGTCAGGGAGCGCCTCTCTGAGAAGGTGACGGTTGAGCCAGGACTTGAAGGAGGTAGGGAGTGAAAGCGAGGACGCTCCAGGCAGCAGTAATGGCCCTGAGATGAGAGTGTGCCTGGCTGTTCAAGGAACACCAAGGAGGCAAAGGAAAAGATGGTTTGCACTGGGCGAGCTCAGGTCAAGGTCAGGCCAAGTAGAGACAAGTCTTGCAAGTGGGGTCTTCCAGGGTACGAACAGATAGGTGTGGGAATGGGGCCTTGACCTTCCTGCCAGCTGCTGCTTTGCATTGAGATTGCAGGCTGTAGGTTCTCAAGGCTACCGTGGAACTGGGGAGTGGGGATGAGAAGGAGGCAAGTTAAAACACCATAGAGCTCGCTGTTCTTACTGAGATTCTGTCATTTTTTCCGGTAAATGACATTTTTTTCAGCTTCCCAATCGCTGCCAGCCTTTGGTTAATTTTCCTAGTTCTGAAAAAATTGATTCTATTGATTTTTGCCATTTGTTCTCATTGCTTTTATGGAAGAGACGATTTTCAGAGAACTTCACTCCATCATTCCTGCTGACATCACTCTTGGAAGGATGCTTGAGGCTGGAAATGGACATAACCAAAGTTGACTGACCAGGAATGCACCCAGACTTTTCAATGGATAGCAAATATGAGAGAGGAGTAATACTTGGCTGGATCAGGGCCCCCATGCAGCAGAAGAGTGGGAATAACATAGAATGGACAGTTTTGAGTCATATTCAAACTGACATTCAAAGTTTTTAAGGATAAAAGTAAACATGGTGAAAATAATGTTTTAGGAAGATTAATCTGGCAGTGGCTCCAGGAGTTGAGCAAGAAGAGAAGCAAGAAGACCACTTACCTTGGTCAAAGGGGATAATTGTGTACCTGGAGAAGCAATAAGAAGAGGTCGGGTGTGAGAGCATTCCAAAGGCAGCTTCTGTGAGATGGCCGATGACTGGTTTTGGGGAGGGCTTCAAAGTACACTCGTGTACATAAGTGTTTTATGGAGCTGCTGGCAGTGAGACGCCCCCATTCAAGTTTTCTTCCTGCCAGCCCAGAAGTTATGCAGCTCCCGGTGGGGTCCTTTTGGCCTCACTCTCTTGCACTGCCTGCCTGCCATGAATGACCCTCCCAGTGAAGTAGCTGAGTATCCTGGAGTTCATGGCCAGCAATTCCCCAATAGTGCTGCTCCTTGTGGGGAAGCACGGCTGGTGTTCACACAGACAGGCTCTGCTGTAAACACACGTGAAGTTCTTGAATCGTAGGGGCCCCTAATCTAAGGAAATCAATGCGCTTGTCATCCCTTTGCTGGTGGGGGCGCTGTGTAGAGAAAAAGCGGAGCCTGGCACTTTGCTGCTGGGGACCGTTGATAACCAGCACCTCTCTTCTAGGCACAGTGGCCCGAAGTAAGGGTGTGGGGAGGGGACTCACAAGACAGAGCAGGTGCTGAGATTCCCCCATGCTGCTGTCTCCAAATGGCAGATCCAAATCCTCCTTAGGTCTCTCCAGACAACCAGACAGCTAAGAGGCAACCAGAGATGCTTCAAGGTCCAGGCCACATTGGGCCAACGGTCACCTTAAAAGTGGAAAGATTGATTAGGTCAGACACTAAGGGTTTCCCAAAGTGTATTCCATGGAATTCTGGTCCCATGAGTGTCTCCTCACAAAGTGGTCTAACAAGCTGAGGAAATGCTTCATTTTCTGTTTCCTTCTAAAAGAGTCACAGTGCACATTAGTACGTTAAATCCTCTGAGAAGTCCTGCAATAAAGAAACTGAGCATTTCCTAGTCTTCAGTGACCATGGGACTCTTTTTCCTGTTGACAACCCACTTTGGAGCAAGCCTTTAACAACTGTCACTTACTCTAGTCCCTTATCTTCCTCTGGTCATTCACAACATGGCAGCCCTTTCACAGTGATGTTCCAAGGGCTTCAATCAGCGTAGGACCCTTGAAAAAATGAGAATTTCAGTTAAGCACATGGCAAGTCACTTAGACAGTCCAGATGTCACAACCCTGCTCTGCCAAACTACCCCAAAGATCCTCAACAGCTTACACTTTCTAGGTTCCTCAGTGTAAAGTGGGGTAAATAGTAACAGTACTAACCTTGTGGGATTGTGGTGAGGTTACTTAACCCACGTTCATGTATATAAAGTGCTCGGAACAGTTCCTGGCACATAGTGAGCTGCATACGCATTAGCAGTTTTTGGCCTGAGGACATTTCTTTCTTTTTTTTTTTTTAAAGATGTATTTTCTTTTTTTTATATATTTTTTTTTAAAGAAGATTAGCCCTGAGCTAACTACTGCCAGTCCTCCTCTTTTTGCTGAGGAAGACTGGCCCTGAGCTAACATCCATGACCATCTTCCTCTACTTTCTATGTGGGATGCCTACCACAGCATGGCTTGCCAAGTGGTGCCATGTCTGGACCTGGGATCTGAACCAGTGAACCCTGGGCCAGCAAAGCAGAACGTGCGAACTTAACCACTGCACCACCCGGCGAACTTAACCACTGCACCACCCGACCGGCCCCTGGCCTGAGGACATTTCTTTTTTTTATTTTTTTTTTAAAGATTGGCACCTGGGCTAACAACTGTTGCCAATCTTTTTTTTTTCTTTTTCTGATTTATTTCCCCAAACTGCCCCTGTACACAGTTGTATATCTTAGTTGCAGGTCCTTCTAGTGTGGGATATGGGACGCCGCCTCAACGTGGCCTGATGAGCGGTGCTGTGTCCGTGCCCAGGATCCGAACCCTGGGCCGCCACAGAGGAGCACACGAACTTAACCACTCGGCCCTGGAGCCGGCCCCAGGACATTTCTTAATAGCCATGTTGGATTCATTATTGTTTAAATTACTGTTGATATATAATGTTAGCATGGATCTATTATTCTAACTTTTTTTGTATAAATGTTTAAATAGTCCAAAGGAGCAAGACGTGATTACACGATGTGTGCACAGTCTCTGCTGCTGTCGCTGTCTCTCTGTCTCTGTCTGTCTCTCTCTCTCTCTCTCTCTCACACACACACACACACACACACACACACACACACACACACACGCCACTCTCTTACTCTGAATTCGTTAACTCCCATTGATCCGTGTCTCAGGCCCAGGGGCCCATTTACAGCCCCCCTGAGGTATGAACTCAAAAGATGAGAGAAAGAGAGAAAAGAGGCTTTCTTTGGGGAAGAGAGCTGTGAGGAAGGGGGTGGGGCCTGCCAATATACAGGATCATTGTTCAGTGAAGGTCCCGACAGCTTTATAGGAACAGCTCAGAGAGCTCCGGGCCAGCCATTCCCACCGAGGGAAAAAGAAGCCACTGGTCTCCATAAATCTCTCCGAGAGCAAGGTGTGTGCATCACACCTTGTGACAGTTAGAAATACTGTCACAAAGACAGCAGGAGAGAACGGATGTGAGCAAGTGGTCAGGACATTCTGCCTGGAGGTAAATGCTGGTCGGGAGGGTGACTGGCCCGCGCCTCCGGAGGGGAGAGAATGGTGGCTTTGGATGGCCTCTCTGCCGCCCCCGCTCACCCCCCTCCCCCTACTCCTGCTTTCAGGAAGCAGAGAGGACCACTCTCCCCATTAGGAGCAGACATTGGAAACCAGGCAAACAGCAAAAGCGGGGCTGCGTGTCCGCGGCTAAGGACCCTTTCTGAGAAGGTCAGCAGGCCCTGGATGGCCCAGGCTTCCTCCCAGGCCCGCTTTTCCGAAGCAATGGGGACAGGAGGGAAGCCGAGGAGACCAGGCCGACATTTCCAAACAGCAAAGCTGTGTCCCCGGCCCTCAGGGAGCCAGAATTGGTCACGCCATGGTGCCACTTTGGGAACTGGGAATTGTATGCGTGCACTCAGAAAGGCAGGCCACTTACCACCATTTGATGACAAAGAAAAAACCCTTCAAAAAACATAGGCCTCCAGTTTCATCTCCGCCAGGTAATGAATTAAAGATGACAAAGGAAAAACACGCGTCAGGGGCTTGCCTTTTCCTGGGCAAGAGAAAAGCTTCAGTTGGAATTGCTCTGCCTCCAACCTTTCCCTGTCCCCCCTGCCCTGGGACAACTGAAGCAGCACTGGACCCTCCCGAGGCCCGGTCCCAGCTCATCCACACCTGGCTATCTGGGCCTGGAATCCTGGGCAGACCCTCAATCAGAATGTGGGGCTGGGTCCCCTGTGAGCAGTCTCACATCTCACAAACAGAAAAGGGACAGGTCCAATTTAGAATGTGTCACCATCTCCTTGCCAGGCTGGGAGGGACGGCGCTAATGGGAGGGGTGGGCACCTCGCCAGGGAGGCTCAGGAAATGATACGCTGCCTGCCAGGCGGTGGGCCCCGCTCAGCCTGTTCCAGACGCTGGCTGTGCTAGCCTTGTTTACGACGCCAGCATTGCGTGTGGTGCTGAGTTCCCTCTGGACGTGCCTGTGTCCATCTGGTCAGCGTCCCAGGTCTCTACCTGCAGAGTGGGGGTGAGGGTGAGCTCTTAGCTAGCCTCCAGATTTACTGCTGCTCCAGGAGGGCTCAACTGGATCCCTGCGTCTCCACCGCATCTCCCACAGCCTGGCTCTCAGGAACCCAGCCCCAAGCCACCCTGCCATCTCCAGCAGAGCTGGCTGGTTTGCACGCTCCACTCTGATTTGTGTGTCATTTGGTTCTCTTTGAAGAAATCGTCCTCTACTGAGGCTGCTGCTGGCCTGCTGGCCCCTGGCTGCCTGGTGGGCAGCTCGTGGCTGGTGGGATTCTGCAGGCCTCGGCCCTCCTCCCGCCAGGCCTGTGGCTCTGCTCTGCTGGGCTCTGGTCACAGCGGCTGCCTCTCAAGTCAGAGGGGACATCTTCAATTTGTTCTGGAAAAAGTCCCCACAGGCAACCTGGGCCTGCCTGGGGAGCCGAAGCACAGGTTTCCAGGCACGCCGGGCTGTCACAAAGCTCAGCTCGGTCCCGGCTCCATTCAGGGGGCTGTGTGACAGTTCTTTGTGTCCAGTGGAAGATACCAAAGGCCTGTGTGAGGAAGGGGGGTCACCCAGCCGGGACGAACCATTTCATCTCGTCTCTCCTGAAGGGTTAGGCCAAGCAGGACAAAGCCTGGGTCTCGCAGCGCATTCTGTGCCCCGCGTCTTGTAGCCACGCAGAGGCCTCAGCAGAGCAGGGGCTGAGGCTTCATTCAAGAGCTCCAGCAGAGCTGTTAGCTGCGGGCTGAGGGCTTCGGAGCGCTCGGCGCTGGCCGACGGTCTGCGGCAGGGCCGGGCCTCCTGCGGCAGAGCCCGACCTGGGAGCTGCGCTGACTGCGCGACAGCCACAGGCTGCAGGGGCTCCCGCCGGCTCCAACACCCTGGCCTCGGTCGTATCTCGCCTTATAAATAGCACTCACCTGATCCAAGTGCTAAATTAAATTAGACTTAAAATAGTCACCCAGTCAACACCTGGTTTACTGCTCACGGTAACTAACAGCTCCCACGTTGCTAAATGCTCCTTTTCTGTGGCCAGTTCCTCTTTCCAAAGCTTCTCACTCGAACCGAACCCCGAAACCCCGAGCTGTTTTTCTTTTGTGCTGGGTGTAGCCAGCGTGAACAGGCAGGTCTTCGTGGAACAGTTTGGTCAACATCGGCACCCTGTGTGTGCGCATGCTCACTGCTCTCCGGGACACCCTCCGGCAGCAGGAGAGCTGACTTCTAGGTCATCTTTGCCCCTCACCCCGTAGTCCGGTTTTCCTTTGTCCCTTTCTCTTGGTCTCACAGTAACGACCTGCTGTAATTCCTGGCCCCGCCCACCCCCACCCACTGGTACCGGAGGTCCCGGCGCTCAGGGCTTGATTTCAGCTCAACGTGCCTCAGCTTCAGGCTACGGCTGAAAATCTGCTCCTCATCCTGCTGGACCACAGCACAGGCCTCTCCCCCCAGCTGGAGAGCGGGGCCCAGTGTGCAGACATATGTGTTTGGGTCTCCAACAAACGGTGATTAAGTATTGACTAAGTGTCGGGGGCACTGTACTATGAGCTGTGACCACAAGGGGAATAGCCGTGGTTCCTGCTCTTGAGGCACCAGAATCTTTGAACAAGAAGGAGATGTGGTCCTTTTTTGTTTGTTAGTTTATTCGTTCATCCATTTACTCAAGCTTTATTAAGGGCCTTTCAAGTGCCAGACACCATAAAAGAACACTCCAGATCCTAGCCTGGAATGACACCTAGTCCCTACTCCATAGGAGGCTGCAGCCCCCGGACAACATTAGGTGAACCAATGTGTGCAGCACAGAGTGCCACATATTATGGCAGAAATAAGCACAGTAAATGGTGGGAGCACCCAAGGAGGGCTGACCACAGCAGAAGGCTCCACCCACATGTTCTGGCAACGGTGCTGGAGCTGAGTTTTCAAGGGCAGTGTGGTAGATCAAAGGTGGCCCCAGGGTCTTTGCCATTCTTCCCATGGAAACTTAGACTCCAACTCTTCTGCCCTTGAATCTGGGATGGGCTAACTGGCTTGACCAATAGAATGCAGCAGAAATGATGTTCTGGGACTTCCAAGGTCAGGTAAGAAGGAGCCTTGCAATATCCACTTCCTGGCCCTTGGAACCCAAAAGCAGTCTGACTCTCCTGGGGAGGTACGTGTGGGGGCTGACTGGCAGTCCCAGCCATCCCCGCGAAGGCAACAGATGTGTGAATGACGGGGTCATGGACCCTCCAGACCAGCCCGTCTGCTAGCTGAGTAACACGGAGTCAGCTCTGTTGATGAAGAATCACCTGGCCGAGCCCTGCCAAATTCCTGATCTACAACAGATAAATTCGAGGCAGCGAGGCCTGTGGGATGGTGGGTAGATGTGTCCCTGGACCATTCTCATGTTAACGGGGCAGGAGCCTGCGGGCTGTCCTCCTGGTCCCAGGACACAGCACAGCCTGCTGCTAGGACTCCTCAAGGAAGTTTCTCTTCCCCGAGATAAATCCCCCCACCCCCCACTCTCTACTCCAGAGCCGGCCATTCTTGCATTCATTGATTCACTTGTTGATTTTTGGAAATATAATAATTTGATGTATATTCATTACACTAACAACAATTATTTACTACTTATGAGACACTGGGTTCAACACTTAGATGAATTATCCAGTTTAGTCCTCATGACATCCCCCCATGAGGTAGTTAGTGCAGCCAGTTCTGCTGTAACACTTGTTTAAAAATGAGAATTTATTCCAAAATAATTGACATATTAGGGAGCAATTTAAGCATAACGTGAATTTTGCATTTGCTTCTGTGTGATTCTGTCCCACCCACACAAAACTGGGCGAATGCAGGAGGCTGCACCTCACACACCCACCTGCCCCCTCGGCTCCCCACGGACCAGGAGCACTCTGGCGTCTGGTGTCCCGCTCTCCCCCCAATGCAGGTACCCCCTCCAGACTTCACAGTAACTCACAGAGCCACGCCCGTTCCCACAAGGTGGAGCGCCACGCTTATTTGTAGCAGTCAGTGATGTATTTCTTAGCCATTGAATGTGTGTTAATCCACGCTACTGTTTTTATTAGGTTCCTATCTTACTTTACGCATCATTGACAAAGTTCTTGGGTGTCATGCCTCTAACCTCATTTTCCCCATAAGCCCTGCAGTTTTTATTGTGGGATTTTGCAGAGAGCAGTGTTTTTTAGGAACACGTATGTCATATCGTGGCAGAACCGACTCTACTGTCATCTCCACTTTAAAGATGAGGAAACATTTAGAAAAAGCTGGTGAGTGTAGGACGCGAAACTTAAATTCCTGGGTGAGAAGCTAGACTCTGCCCGGCCGTGCTCCCCTCTCTCGAGCGTGGGAGCTGAACCACTGCCCTGCGTCTTTCCTCAGGAGGTGGGTGAGAAAGGCCAAGTGGAGGAGGGGCAGGGCTCCCGTCCCCAGGCTCCCGCGCCCTGAAACTCTGGGCTTCCCTCATGTAACGTTCCCTCCCTCTCGTTCCTTTTCTCTCCAGCAGCTCCCCTGGCTGCACTGGCCCTGACGCTCAGCTGGTAGGCACCTCCCACCCTGCCATCCTCTTCCCAGGAGACTGGAAGGTATGGCTGCCGTTTACTGTCCTCCATCTCCTCAGTGTGTAGTGCACGGGATGGCACCTGACCAGGCCTCATAAATATTTCTGGAACCAGACCAACATGAGCAGGAGTCTTGGCTGTGGTGAGCGGGCAGAAGGAGCCAGGCTCCTGGGGCAGGCGTGGAGGAGGGCCCAGGAGGCCATGGCAGCCTCTACCACACGCTCAACAGCAAAGCAAACTGCTGCCCATGGTGTGCCAGGCTCAGTCAGAGCCCCACTCCCATGTCTGATCAGAAACCAGGGAAGACAGTGCCCCGCGGCCTGCAGAGGACCACGCCTAAGCTCCCCAGAGGTGACAGCGAACCCCTTGCCCCTCTCAGTCTTGTACCTGCACAGCTGCTCTTCTTTGCTGTCCTTTATTGGGTCTGTCAGAACCCCCCCCATGTTTCATAGCTGACCCGACACTCCCTTGGCCTTCAGGGAAATCTCCTACCCCCTGCAACCTGCAAGATTCTCTCTCTGTCTCTTTAGAATCCAATGCCTTTGGTTTCCCACGCTCCTTTGGTGGTTAATCGTGTCCGCTTTGCAATGAGACTGAAGTTATCATCTGGTACTAATACTTCTCATGTACAGGCAGATGCTGACTTAAGACTGATGTGTTCATAGGTCACTTGTAAGTGGGCCATTGGAATCAGAACACATGTCCCTATGGAAGCTGTGTTAGAGTGGAGGGTGGCCCCCAGGTCAACTCATTTAAGCCTATTTAAGCCATAATGTGGCTGAACTAGACTGTAGCAGAGTTCTGAGTGCTGGAAGGATGAGGGGGTCATGCAGCAGGGAGGCGAAGGCAGAAAAGAGTTTCTTCTTCCTGAACACAAGACCAGCTGTCAGAAAAAAACTCAGAAACATTGAGAGGATCAAATGCATGGGCCTCCATTTCTCCTCTGGAATCTCCTCCCGTCTGCTGCTGTCTTTCCTCAACTGTCACCCTCTTGGGGCCTCCTACTTACCCCTGGGGCACCGAGCCAGGTGTTCCTGTCCTCCAGAATATTTCCTGGAGTTGTCTTCCCCAAGCCTGCCTGCCCCCATGAGAAGTCTTGTTTTCTCTGTAGGGATTATCTAAGCAACGTATCAGGAGTAAAACTAATAAACGTGCCACTCCAAGAAGGGGGACAGCAGAGTGGTTCGTAGCAGAGGACTGAAGTCCAGCAGATCTGAGTTCAGTCCCAGCTACAGTGGCTGGTGACCTTGGACGAGAAATTAAGTTCCAGCCTTAGTCTCCTCATCTGCTGATGACATCGTTATAAGGAGGAAGTGGGGAGTAGTGCGATGACCTGGGCCTAACGCTGTCCTGAGAGGTGCATCTTATACTAACAGCTGTTGAAGGACTCAGCACCCAGCCCCACAGGCGTCTTCCAAAGTGGCATAACCCAAGCTTCTTAACTCTGTCAGCTCTGAAAATGTTTCAGCTTCTATTTCTTCAAATACTGCTTCTTCTCTATTTCCTCCTATCTGTCCATTTAGGACTCCAATTTCTTGTATTTCAGACATGTTTACTGGTTCCTATATATCTGTTAAGCTTAAAAGAGCATTTTTCCCCCTCTGTGCTGCTTCTCCCTGGAGGTTTTTTACTCATTCCTCTTTCAAGTCACTGAACCTGTCTTCTGCTGTGTAATAGCATTGTTCAAACAACTGAATTCTTAATTTCTGTGATTGTGTTTTTCAGTTTTAGGAGTTCCATTTGATTCCTTCTTATAGATTCCAGTTCTTCAGTGAAATTCTCCATCTTTTCCATTTTTTTCCTTGAACTGTTGATCACAGCTATTTAGAATTCCGTGTCTGTTAACTCTAACATCCAGATCACCTCAGTATTTCTATTTTATCTCTTTCTGCTTTGTTTTGTTCCATTTGTTGCTGTCTCCTCGTGTGTCTGGTAATTTTTTCATTGAATGTTGGACATTGTGAATGAAAAATCATAGAGAGTTTGGATGATGTTACCTTCTTTCAGAGAGGATTTAATTTTCTTCTGGGAGGCTGGTAGAGTATTTGATCATCTTCATCTAGTCAAAAGCTAGTTGCCTATTTCAGGTTTTCTCTTGCAAGTTCTCGACTGAATGCTTGGGTGTTTATTAGTGTCCTTCCTTCATGGCACAACCTGAACTCCAATTTCTGTGTCTCTGGCACCATAAGACTACTGAAGTTAATGCTTAGCTTTTTTAACCCCTTGGAGGCTGATTCCTGCTTGGTTTCTCAGTCTCTAGGTGTGATGGATGCTGTGACGGACTGGCCAAATCCCCCTCCAGGAATGAAAGGCTTATTCTCCCCAACTGTCGGGAGTCTTGTCAGGAGGCAGTCTTCAATCATCAGCCCTCTTTGGGGATTGCCTCTGCTGAAGAAAATTGCTTCTCCTGAGGTCCACCTCCTTTTAGGGGCAGCCTGCACCCTCTGCAGCAACTCAGGACAATTTTGAAGCATTCTGCTAGCTCTAGAGCTCACTGTGGGGTCGGGAGAGGCTGAGCCTGCAACACAGTCCTACTTCATTCCTCTCCTTTCCACATAGGTTGATCCTAAAACACCCCCTAGTGAGCATAATGCTTCCTAATCTCTCTCTCTCAGGGAACCCAACCTGTGACATTAGGCCTGTATACACACAACTTAGAAGTCAGCAAATGCCTCGCGGGGAAGCTGCGCACAGACTACCAGGCCCATTTCAATGGATTTCCTGTGTCTTCAGGATCTTGGACCCTGTGGGGCCCTGGATGCTTTGGTTGTTCTCCAGTGCCTTCCAACAGTTGGTCTTTGTATTTCATCCAGCTTTTGTAGTTGTTCTCATTGGGGATTAATCTGATATCATCCACTCCACCATAGCTAGAAGCAGATCATGCTGACTGTTTTAATTCTCAGAAGCCAGAAGGAGTAATGAGGGACTGTTGCCGTGGACCTAATTCTGTTCAACAAAGAACAATTGATTAGAGATGCAGACGTCATGAGAACCTGAAGAGAAAATGACCTGGCCGTCTTTGACTACGCCACACCCAGGAAGGGGAGTGCCGGATCTGTGCCCTGGAAGTTAGAAATATAGGTTTCAAATCTTCCAAGGAAAGAGATAAAGTCCTATGGTCAGATCAGTAAAAGGGAAGAATTATTAAAAGACGTCTCAGAGTAAAAGTGAAATTTTGACACTATAATGACAACATATCTAAGAGAGAAAGAGAAGCAAATGTAAAAAGCAGACTGATATGCTGGTATGCTTTTTGGTATTGTGTTTTGGAGTATAAATCATAAGTAAATGACGGTTGTATGCAGACAAGTTAATAGTTTGGGCAACAGCAACAACAGAAGGACCTAAATGAGATGTGATAGGCGGGGTGAAATCTAACAAGACAGGATTTAATAGGAACAATGAACGTACCCAGGTCCCGAGAACCCAACTTCTCAAGGGCAGGGTGATAAAAGTCAGGTTTAGTAAGTGTGCATGTGAAAAAGAAACACACGAAACACCCTAAGCTCTTCAGTTTACTTTAAACACAGTTTGGATCAAGAGTATGAACTTGCCAACAAAAGTTGCTTAAATTACCTTAATAGAAGTATAATGTCTCAAGTGAGACAAGTGAAACAGTCCTGTGACACTCTGTGTGGTGGTCTGACCTCTGGTCCTAAACACCACAACCTGAGGGAGGCATCAGTGTGTTCTGAGCAGGGCCAGCAGGATGGGGGAGTGAACCACTTCTGAAGAGACAGAATAAGAAGTAGGTGTGCTGCGGCAGCTGTCTTCAGGTAAGATTTAGATTCAAATATACAAAGGAGTTTTAAATGACCAGAGCTGCTGGAAGATGGACTGGGCTTCTGTAAAGACGGTGACGTCTTCCTCACTGGGGGTTCAGAAGGAACTGGAGACTGAGGGTCATCAGTTGGAGGAAGCATGGGAATGTTTTGGTTGACCCACGTTGTTTAAAAAGTTTGAGCTAACATTAAAGCTTGGGAGATTTTACATAAAATATCAGATTTCTGAATTCTGTTGAAAAATTGGAAGATCTGCGGACACTAGGCCCTCCTTTCTGCATGTCAACCAATCAGCTGGAGCTAGTTTTCTTGTCCCCTTTACACCAGACTGTGTTCTTCAGTGTCCCAAAGTCTTTCCCAACGCGCGCTCTGGCCCAGGCCAATTTCGCTCCTTTCCCTCATCTGTCTGGCTACTGCGGGCGCTGGAGCTGGAAGCCCCTACTGCAGAGGACTCAGCCAGTAGACAAAGGCACAGCAACTCTGCAGCCTGGTCAGCCCTCCCTTTTCAATGGGAACTGCCCACTCAGAGCCTCTGCTGCCAAGATGCCTGTGTTTTGTACCACGTTACTCCACCTTGGACTGAGCAATTTGGGTTGACACCTGATCCCGGGGCTGTTAATTCACAGACTGACTGTGACACATAATTAGGCCTGGCATGGAAAAATGTGCTGAGCCAATCAAGTTTTCTCTCTCAGCTTTTAAAACTAAGAAGCACAGTGTGAACCAGCAAGTTGGCAGTAGTTTTGATGCTAAGGAGAGGCCTGAAAAATCATGAAGGACCATGAGCAAATTGAAAGTATGAGGCAACTAAAAGAAGGAGTTCATTTGAAGAGAGATGAGAGGGAGCGTGTGAACAGAGAGGGGCAGAGAGACCTTGAGAGAGAAAGCATGTGGCCTGAGAGAGACATTTCGAGTTGCTGGTCCCCAGAGCTGTCCTGGTTCCTTATAGTTATTCAGCTTTAGATCCAGTTCATGTGTTCTCTTACAATAAACTTCAATTTCTTGAACTAAGTTGAGTGTTCTTTTGTCCCTGCACTCAAGAAAAGCTAATCAGAGCCACTCTTAAGGCCTCTGCCAACCTGAGAGTTTGTGGCTCTACAAACCGAGTTTTGGGGTTTACCTCCATGATGTAACTCCCCTCCACACCGCGGACAGATAACAGATGCAGTAGGAATCCATCTCTGAGACTATTCTCTCCCCTTTTGCTTCTGCAACAAAGGTATGCATATAATTTTAAAGACGTAAACATGCAAGCATCTTAAGATCTAATTTTATCGCATTATCATATTCCCAACAAGAAAAAAAAAAGCGTGTAGGTAAAGCGATTTGCTTTCTTATATACATCTGTCAGCCCTAATCAGACCAACTCCACTTAAGTGATAGAAAACTGTTCAGATGTTGTCATCATTCTGGCGAACCTGAAGCATATTTAACTTGTTGATGAAGTACTTAACATTACAAATGAATGCAAAACTGTCTATCAGTTCTGGTGTGATTATTTTGGAAATGTTGTAAGTTTTCAGGTTGCTGTGATAATGAGAGACCTTTGTGATATTTAAAGCTACCTAAGTTGCATCAGCCTTTTGAGGAGTTGCTCTGAGGGCTCCAAGGAGAAGAGAAGAAAGATGCATATTATAACTCACCATACAGTCCCTGATTTGTCTTTTTGAAGCAACTGTTGTTGAAATGAGATGACAAAGAACTTCAGGCTGTAGCTGTCCCAGTGAAGGGAGTTGAGGAAGTGTAAAGAAAATTTGTTATTGGGGAAAGCTGCCAACTCTGATGGCGTCTCCTTGGCACCAGCCAAACAATCTGAAACCTGTCTCCGAACAGTCACATAGATTGGGGGACACACAGAGACAAAACAGCTGGTAATTGACTGAATTTTCCACTCTGCAGCCAAGTATTTTGGCGTCATGGAGATTAAGACTTGACTGATCTCACTGGAAAACTGTTCAAGCCTTTGCTATGCTCTGTTTCTGTAGAAACTAGTTTAGCATTCCCAGGGGAAAAAAAAATCCACACCTGCTCAATCATTTCAAAAACAATAGGTACAAGGCATTTATTACAAATTAGTGAAACAAGCAATGCTTCCCCGCTCTCTGTTTTTGCTAGATTTTCAAAGATTTCCATTGTTAGAAAAAGATATCTTAGCAATTTCTAGTAACAAAGACAAATTAGCAAGAAAAACTGTCAGTGAGAGAGCAAGTTTTATTGTTCTCTTTTTAAATTTAAGTTACTTATAGTAAAATACAGTGAAATTCGCTCCTCGTAGCGTGCAGTTTGACAAATGCTTAGTATTGCGGATCTACCCCCACGTCATATAGGAAGAGGTCTATCACCCCAAATTCCCTTTGTAGTCAGCCCCGCCCCCCACTCCCACCCCTGGAAACCACTGCTCTGTCCTCTGTCTCTAGTTTGCCTTTTCCAGAATGTTATACAAATGGAATCATACAGCATATCGCCTTTTAGTTTATTAATTATTAATTTAATTTATTAACTTACTTTTGCTGAAGTTTTCACAGATATAATGTGATGTTCAGAGAGAAGAAAAGCGGGAAAAATATTTGGGGCTGGGGAATCGTAGAAGACAAGAACGAGGATATGGGGATGTTGCTGTGCTCATCTACAGAATTATTTTCATCTGTGCAGAGAACGTGTCTTAAAGGTGCTGAGAACTGGTCACAAAGTCTTAGGCACCCAAACTCAGCCTCCACACGGCTCAGAGGAGGGGTCTGTGTGCTTAGCCCGTGGCTACCTTTAAACAGCCTTGGGAGCTGACCCAGGGCTGGGTAATTAACATGAGTAATTAGCTCCGGTTTAGTTCTGAGGGCAGTTGTGGTGTACGCAGCATCAGGCTGGTGGAGAAAAGTGCCAATTAACTCTGCGGCGTGCTCCACAGCGGCCACCTTTATTGTGCTTTATCAACATAGCAGCTGGATTAGCCCTGCATTCGGTTTGCTTTCCCTCATTACGATAATTGCCTTCTGAACAATGGCGTGTGTCAGCTTGATCCTCCTTACTAGGGGAACATGATTTGTTTGTACAAGTAAACCTGCTGGCAGGAGGGGCAGCTGGCCAGGCTAATATTTGGGTCTTGAGATTGATATTAAGTTTTAAAAATCAAGTTAGATTTGCTCTACTGGAGATTCTTGGAAGACTCACTGTGCATCAGGCCCTATGCGGGATGCATCCACACACTTATATATGATTATCCCCATTTTTCAGATGAGGAATTCTGTGTCCTAAAGACTCCCTTCCAGCCTCTCTGCCCTCACACACTTTCTCCCTTGTTTGTGGGCTCTGGATGGTTTTGTCCTTTAGGAGCTTTGATAGACCCTACAAAATGGCCGCCATGGTGGCCAGCTTCTACCAGGAAGTGATGATATCTCCAACTAGCGTTACACACTATGTTATGTCAAAATCCATCCTCCTAGGAAAGCTTCGGAGACCTTCACAACCATCCTGTGAAGTAGACTGAGGGCAGGGACGCCAAATCACTGGACCTCTTAGAGCCCCTTTGAAATGGCTGCTCCTCAACCTCTCCACGGGCGTCTCTGACGGTTGTTTGCAAGGAGGTTTAGGAAAGATTTCTGAGCCCTTCACCATCCTAACAAACAAGACAATGCCTCAACTAAGACTCTGAAGGAGATTTTGATTCCTCATAACTGCAGCAAGTGAGCCCTGACTTGTGCTGCTCCTAGAAGAGGCTTTCCTGCAGCCTCAGCAGGATCTGAAACCCCCATTAGTCCCGTTGTAAGAGGTTATGTCATGAAGACTGTGTGTGTGTGTAGGCACGCAGCACACTTCTGGAAAGTACAAGAAAAAGGGAAAGATAGTCTAATCTGTTCCTTGGAAGACTTTGCTGGGGAACAAAACCACAGTCATCTCAAACAACTTGGTGACATAGATCCTGAAGATGCACATATCCCCACAGAGTCACGTCCTTGTAGGAACGGTGGATGTAACCTGACAGGAGATGAAAACACAGGCTCCAGAACTGGGTAAATGTGGGCTTGATTTCCAACTTTCGCTTACTCTCTGCGTGACTTTGACCAAGTTCCTTAACTTCTGTGAGCCTCAGTTTTCCCATCCGTAGGATAGCGGATAATATTACTGCCCTTATAGGGTTATTTTGATAAATAAGATCGTGTAACTAAAGCTCATCAACTGAAGAATATTTGACTCCAAAATCCATGCTCTTAGGCACTAGGTAGACACGTATACTTTCGTACACGTGTAACAGATACATGGTCGTGTGCGTGCCTGTGCTTCTGCCACAGTATTCAGTTATAGCTCAACTGAGAAAAAAATCCGTTTAAGGTTTTTCAGATTCTGAGGGTCTTAGGATAGAGCCAACAGGTTGAATGTGGGCATGCAAGACCTTTTAGGAACTACTAGTAAGTATTTATAGTCAAGATGGCATCCCGGCGTAGCTGGGGAGTCCACCTCCCAGGGCTGAAAGGTGGCCTGTGGCAGCACTGTGATTAAGAGGTTTCTACTCTACTTCAGGCAGCAAGTGGTGAGCGTGTAGTTATCTGGACTGAGTATAAAAGACTGATTAGGGCGGGATTACATGCCCTAGGGCCAGCCAGCTATTATCTAGTGGGTTTATTTATGGTTAGTTAAGTGAGAACGACAACCCGGAGAACTATCCTTTGTGTGGTTTTCTGTGGGTAATATGGTGTTATCAGACGCTGTTTGGGCACCTCGTGTCCCACTGGGACACTGCGATCAAACAATACAGCAACAAACAACATACACACCTCCCCCACCAAAAAACCCTACAACTGTGGGCGTGCAGTACTTGTTTGTAAGAAAACTGCTGGATACTCATTTCAAATATAACATTAAAAAATTATCCAAGTAATATGTGCTTATCGTAGAAAAATTGGAAAATGCGGTTAAGTAAAGAAAAGGAACTAAGTCACCTACAAGCCCCTTTCCTTTTTCCTTCAAGATAACCATTGTTAACATTTGGTGTGTATCACTTTAGGATCTTTTAAATGTATGTACACACCCCCGCCCACATGTATAGTCATATGCATATGTTTATTTATAAAAATGGGATTACTCTATACACACAGTTTTATAACCTGAATTCTTCACATACTATCTCAGGAATGTTTTCCAAGTTATGAAATCTTTGAGGTACTGTATCTCTTTATAGGGGGAGCTGGCTTCAACAGTTGACATTTACAGTGTCCCTATGAAGTGTGGCTCTCCAAAGACGCCTGGCCCTTGGGTTTACCCCTTGGGTATATTGTGAATTCGGGGAGCTTGGATGGGCTATGGGAGCCCCACATGCACGAAATCAGCTTTCATAGACCCTTAATAAGAACCAGAGTTATTGTGGCCTCTTCATAAAAGTGAACTGGAATAACAAATGCTGCCTGACATGTCAGCCAGCAGGGACCCTTTGCTGTGTGTGCACATTTGCAATCCAAATAAGGCATCAAAACCCGAGAAAAGGATGGGCTACAAAGCCTGTGAGGCTGGGAAATGTTTCCTTGTCGTTTCTTTGGCAAGGGAGCTGATCTTGCCACCATCTTCTTCCCTCCATTGCACCATGAACTGGCAGCGTAGTCCCCTCTGTGGGCTTACGGCAGCAGACCCTCAGCCTGTGGCTGAAAGACACGAGCTATTTCACCAGCAGCATCTATGTTCCTCTGTTCTTAAGAGCTTTTATGCCTGCTCAGATCAGTGAGTCTTGGTGTCTTGGTTCTGATAAACTAATCTTTGAGGCTTCAGAGAAAAGAGTTTTGATGTCATCTCAAAACAATATCAATGAAATTAACCATAATTTATTAACCAGCAAAAGTTAGAGATTTCAAAAACTGTTACTAACAAATGAGGATGGACTATTTCGAAGATGTGGGGTGTTTGTCTGGTTCCTGGTAGGGGTTCCTCTAACCTCCTAGGTGGCTGGGCAGACAACTGCGTCTCAGCCCACGACTCAGCCCCACAATGGCCATTCCTGTTCTCTGGTGCCATCTCATCGTGTGCTCAAAACTCTTGGTGGCAAGTGATACTCACTAGAACCAGCTGAGGGCTAAGGGAGAGAGAATGTGTTAGGAAGCTTCACATACTCAAACCACGGGAAGGACAGGGGTGTGGGTGGGCCCCAGGTGGCCTTGGGTGCCGTGAAGTGTGCCCACTGCCTCTCTTTTGTCTCTACTGCTCTCCGAAGGCTGATTTCATTCTCTTCACGAGAGCATTTCTGTAGCTCCTGCCCACAAGGGCCCTTGGCAGAGGTGGGAGTTGAGGGGATTGGGTAGGAGGGTGTCTGACTGGCCTGACGTGGCTCTAAACGCCCCTGGTGGTGGGAGCGGGTTCTGTGACGGCAGCCCCTCTCTGGTCTCATGAAGGGAGTGGAATGCAGGGGAGGCTCATCTAAACGTGAGGAGTGTGTTTCTCAGGAGTAGGCAGATAAAAAAATACCTACACTCAACCCTTCCAGTCCAGTTTTATTTTTCAGTTCTTTCAGGCATAAGCCGTCTACAATGCTCTCTCCTCGGCCCTCTCATCCTCTGACCACCTCTGTTCCTGTGCTTTCGTTTGCACTGGTTCCCAGGCACAAATGCCTCCTCCTCTCCCTATTTATCCAAATCCTGCCCGTCACCCGAGGGCCAAATCTCGTCAGCAGGAAGTTCTCCCCGACCTATTCCGGCCTCAGTTTGAATCGCATTTCCCCAAATTTGTCATGATAAACTCGTATTCTCCTCCCTCTCATGTTTCCTGAGTTGAGTCTTATCTCCACAGCCCCCCTTTGCCTCATCCTGGGAGACTTGACCACACATCCTTCCTCTGCCTCCTCTTTTCCCAAGGACAACTTGAACCCAGTTCATTCTGCCTTCTTCCTCGTTCTCTTTACCAAAATGCTTTTGCTAGACTCACCCATGGCATTCACACTACCCAATGGCCACTGAGATTTTATCTCACTTGACCCGTTAGAAGTATTCGACTCAGTTGACCCCTTTTTCATCCTTAAACCCTCTCTTCTTTTGGATTTCAT